TCATGGGTATTTAACGTTTTAAAAAATGGCAATAAAAAGCAGGCTTTGGTTTGAAATGTCAAAGTAAAAATAGGTGAAGAGACTTGCTAAAGTGGCTAAGATGCATTTTAGGATTGATAACAATTTAAACTTACACTTTTTCCCCCTCTTCCTTTCTTTCTCTCTCTGCCCGCTCCTTCCTCTTCTTTTCTCTCTCTCTTTTTTCATTCCTTCCTCCCTTCTTTTCTTCCTTTTTTTTTTATTTTTATTTTTATTTTTTTTTTACCACCAGAGTGCAAGTACACTGGCCAAAGAGACAGGGAGAAGGACAGGGAGAACACGCTTCCCATGGACCATGGTCACACTGGAATCCTTTCTCTTCTGTGTCTCCCCCCTTTCAGGATTTTGCTCGTGCACGCACATGTGCCTGGTGTGTCTTTCAAGCTGCTGAGCCTAAGACTCAAACCATGTGGGATCTAGCTCCCTTAACCATCAGGTCACGGGCTGGTCTGAAAATGTAATTTTCTTGATAGATGATTATTCAAAGATAGTCTATTTTCATTGATACCTTCGCTTAATTCAACATTCCAACTTCTCATCCATTTTGGCTCTCCTTCTTAATTTTAAGGTAATAGAGAAAACTGCTTTAGAAATAATATATTCTCTGGAGGCTGGCAGGTGGTGTGGTGGTTAAAGGCGCTGGATTCACACATGGCTGACTGCTGTTCGAGTTCTGGACCTAGTGGCTTGTTTTCTCAACCTCCCTCCCCACCCCGTGTCTCTCTCTAGTTGAATTAAACTAGTTATTATTAACCAATAATAACAAATGGAATTAAAATAATATATTCTCTCTCTCTCTCTCTCTGGTGAGCACACATGCCCTATAGCAAAACCTAAAAATAACTAAATAAAAATAATATATATATTTATATATCTAGTGTAAATAAACATTAGATATACGTTTCAGAAAAAAATATATATATGCCTTAGGCTGGTATGAAAAGTCTTCACTGACAATTTCTTCACCAAGAGAACAAGTCATTCTAATAAAGATGTTAAAGAACTGTGTTAATGCGAACTATGTGCACGTGTATGCTGATCATTTATAATTACCCACAGGGGCTTTACTTGCATATCATAAAATAATATATTTGGGGGCCAGCAGGTGGTGTAGTGAAGGTGTTGGACTCCAACATGGCTGACTGTGTTTCAAGTCCAGTGGGTGGGGTACTCATCCTTCCTGGAAGGTGATTTCTCACTTTTTCTGTCTCTTGTCTCTCCAGCAAGTGCACGTTCCCTATAGCAAAAATCGCTCTAAATAAGTAAATAAATAAAGCTATGTATTTTGAACTAAGTTGCATTAAGGTATCTAGCATTATGTCAATTTCTTAGCATTTAATTTTGAATTTTTAGAGAAAAAGATATTCTCTTCCGAACACTACTACCATCGACTCATTCAGTACGTCTTTATTTGAAAACAAATCCTCGAGGTCTTTAGAATTAAAACCTCAACGACTCTCTTACCTAGGAAAAATGCAAATATTGTTAACAGTAAGACATAACTTCTCCTATGAGTCTTCAGAGGCGATCTCGGCAGCATGCCAACCACTGCAAGAAGCTTCACAGAGCCAGTTTTTCCAGGCTCTTCCACTTAAGCCAAAGAGTACTTGGCTAACGACACAGCTACGGCGAGCCACAGTGAGACTGTTCGGGTGGGTGCCTGTTTTCTGAGCTGACTTAACCAAGGGTAGTTTCTAGACTTTGTAGTTACCATGTATATCCCCTGTCATGAAAACAAAATTTGAGCACATATGCCCTATATACTAAATATTTATATGCAATTATAGTACTAATATATTTTTATATTATAAAATACATGCACGATAGGGGCCAGCAGGTGGTGTGGAGGTTAGCATGCTGGATCCCACATGGCCAGCTGTGTGGTTTGAGTCCTGGACCTGGCCAGTTGAAAGTCATGCTAGGTGCAAGTGCGCACACACTCAGAATTTGGAGAGGAGAATGGAGAAGGAATTGCAGCATGGCTGTCCTCCTGGGGGGTGATTTATCTCTCTCTCTCTCTCTAGTGAGCACATGCACCCTATAGCAAAAATAAATAATAGAAAATATTAATAGAAGTTTTATGATTATCTTCCTATATTCTAATATTTCATTTTGTGTCCCCCTTGGGATGAGTTACCCCATTTGAGAGCTCACAAATAATGCCACTCCTATGCTAATTATATTTTTCCCTCCAACTAAGCTGTAAGTAAACACCGGGTAACATGACTTCAAGGTTATTTCTCTGACCATCACCTCGAGTGCAGCTATGCAGCTGGTTAGTATGGAGTCACATACTTTAATAGTCAGGTGGGTGGGGAGTGTGGATAACATTCCCTTTGTGAGAGGAGGAAACTGACCAGGACAAATGCTTGGCTAGAGCTCTCCTTCCTCTGCAGAGGCAGATCATGACAGGCCATGAACTATACACAGGGAAATGGATCGTGAAAGCCTCGAACTTCTGTGCCACAGGTCAGAGATGTAATACTCTATAATGCACGGAGATTTCAAAAGTCTGTGGAAAACTGAATTAGAGGATGAGTTTATTTTGGTGCAAAAAATCCTTTAAAACCCATGAACTTGGACACATTTTCCACAAATGTTTTGAAGACTTCCCTGTATATATGTGTATACATATGTAGATATATACATATTCTTTTTATCTGCCTAAACATACTTGTCAATGTTAAAATTAAATATAAAAAATTTAGAATCAGCAATGTATGATTTCCAACTGTTAATAGTCTAGCCCTATATATGATTTATAATCCACCTTGGGGCCAGCCAATGGTGTAGTGGTTAAAGAGGCCGAACCCCGCATGATCTACTATGTGACTTGAGTTCTGGACTCACTGGCTTGAAAAACATGCTTGGGGTGTGTGTGTGTGTGTGTGTGTGTGTGTGTGTGTGTGTGAGAGAGAGAGAGAGAGAGAGAGAGTGTCTAAAATCCTAAAGAGAAGGAGAAATAGGGGCAAAAGGGTTGCCCCCCATGGAGGGAGGCTTTTTCACTTTCCTTCTGTCTCAGGGAGAGCTCCCACCTTGCAAAATCAACCAGCCAAAAAGGCCCTTCAGAAACTGATTCAATAACACAAAACAGAATAAAAAATTCTTGAATATTCATTCTTGATAACTCTTAGAACAACAGTCAGTATCTCTTCAGATTTTATTCAGTACTAATAAGTCGGCAGTCAAATTTTGCATCCTCCATTGGCATGCCTAAAACTTTTCAAGCATGAAAATAGTGCTAATATCCTTGCTTTTGCATATGGTTCAAAAATTTGGACAGCAGACAATACTTGATGTGAATCAAACTGAAAACACTGTGCTCCATGTTTTATACACATTATAGTGTTTAACTGTCACAACGATTCTTAAATGGCGATAATTATTATCCCCATTTTATAGATTAGAAAAGTAAAGTTTGGGGAATTTAGGGTTATGAGCACACAGCCAAGATTCAAATGGAGGTCTATCTGGCTTCAAAGCCTATGCTCCTTCCACTGAAAAAAAGTGGTTTAAAAAAGCTGAATTAATCCAAGGATACTCAGAAGAAATGCACAATCTACAAATGAAAGCTGACTCCTCTTCATTCTGAACACGGCATGAAGAAGCATAAAGCAATAGGGCCAACAGGTGGTGTGGAGGTTAAGGTGGCTGGACCTCACATGGCCTGCTGTGGATTAGAGTCCGGACCTGTGGCTTGACAATCATTAAGGGAGCAGCACGCATGCATGCCCCAAATCCCAAGAGGAGACTGGACTGCTGTGTGGTCATCCCCCACGGAGGGGGGTTTCTTTGCCTTCTCTCTCTGGCAAGTGCATGTGCCTTATAGCATAATAAGCAATAATGACATGTGACAAAGGCAAGGCCTTGGAAAACACCAACATAAGGCTATCCTCCAATTCTGTATTATTACATTTCCCCCTGCTTTTATCTATAGACCAAAAACAAAATGTAAGAGAGTCAGGGCTGCTTGCGTAATGCCCAGATCATTACAGAAGCACTGCCTAACTCTCCTCCAGAGCGTCTTTGTCACAAACAAAGCACAATTCTAAAAAACGTAGCGAAAGAACTAAACTTAACCACCTAATGAATCTCTTCAATAACAATCTCAACATTAGCTTTCTAACGTGCTCAGTATAACAGTAATAATATTAAATGTCAAACTCAAGTATAATCCCGAGGTCCACCTCATCTCATTATCAAACTGGAATCAGACTTGGTAGCCAGCTCCGGCTCCCCACAGCAGCTTCACAGGCAGATAAGCGCAACCTTCCCAATGATACCAACTGCAGAATGCGGATTTAACGACATAGGGGAAAATCCACTTTTAAGTGGCACTTAGATCTTTCAATTTACAACACATTTCTTTATTCACTGTCTCAGACTTGAAAGAGAACTCAGAACGTATCTAATTTTAGTACCAACCACATACATATCATTACTTTCCATGGTAGACAAGGGGAAACAAAATCCCAAGTCTTTAATGAAGAGTTGGAGGGACCGAATCTTCCCGTTTCTTCCAGAATTGTTTTTTTCAACCATAAGAGCACCGTTTCCAGGCAGACTACAGAGCGTAACATTTACTGAGCAACGAACCCACCCGGCATACCCGTTATCTAACTGTCGCATCAAGCGCACGCTGCGGAAACTGAGATCTTGCCAAGGTCATAGCTACAGCAAGGGCAGTCCAGAATCCCATCAAGGTCGGGCTCGCTCGGAACCTCGCCGTAAGGGCAGAACGACAGAAGCATCACTCGGGGAGGCCTGGCCTGCAGTGCTGGAGGGTGACTCTGCCCGCGCGGCGACACGCCAGTCAGTGGAAGGCGAGCAGGAGGGGACAGTGCAGGCCTCGTACTGGCCGCGGAAACTGAGGTGGTCAGTCCTCGGACCGGGGCCGGCTGGGGGGTCCGAGGCTGCGGCTGAACGCGGGGCGGCGCGGAGCGTGGCTGCCCCGGCCTTACCTGCTGGATGGTTGTACAGCGGCCTCAGCTTCTCGGGCAGCATCAGCTCCACTCTGTCCATGAGGCGGTGGTAGGTGGCCCGCAGGCCGCGGGCGCCGGCGGCGGACATCTCGGCCTGGTAGACAACGAGAGGCAACACCTCAGCCTCCACCCGCGGCAGCCTACCAGGGGCTTTGCCTGCCCGCAGCCAGCCACCCGGCCTGCTCCCAGCCTCCCGGAGGGGCCGGGCTCCGTGTGTCCCGCCCCGGTCCGCCCGGCCCTGCCCTCCACTGGGGACGAGGGCCGTGGGAGCAGCAGGTGCCGGGGCGGCGTCACTGAGCCCGCCCAGCGCCCGCCCGACAGCGCGCCTGCGCAACGCGAATTGCCGTGATTGGTCCCAGCTGCTCTGTGGGCGGGCCCAGTGGGAGCTTTCCATTTCCTTTTCCGGCCCACGAGAACAGGCTGGCAGAGAAAAAGGGAAGCCGAGTCGCCCCCAGTGCTCCTTTGCTTTGATGAAGCAAGGTCTTTCGTGCCCCAAGTAAAGATGGCGCTACACGACTATCTCACTTCTTTCGGCTCGAGACTCGTGCGCAAGGGACCACAGACTTCGGTTTCTCCTCCCTCTGACCCTTTTTCCTTCCTAGAAAACGGAGGGTTTGGCCTAAGTGGCTAGAATTCAACGGTCTAGGGTGAGGGCCGCGATGACTTGCACCCGCGTCAGCGCCCTCTCCACCCCCACGCACTCCGCCG